TCTGTGGGGACCTGACCACTTGCCTTAATGTCTCCTGGGCAAGCAACTTGCTTGTTCTTTTAGTAATCATTCGGTCTGCCTATATTTTTTTGTATTTTTCCTGTTGGTCTTCCTTTCAAGAAGTATCTGCTGTTCTTCTAGCTGCTCCAGGCTGGTCTTCTTGTCCTTTCAAGTGGAAGTTTCCCACCTCTGAAGATTCTGGATGCTGTTCAGAATTCTACCCATGGTCTTATGTAATGCAGAGGCTCCACAGGAAGCCTTCTTCACTGGGCACGTTGTAGCGCCATTTTAGGTATTCCAATCAGTTATAGACAGAAGACAGACTTACAGGCTTTCTATGGTGATATTTCTGGCTATTCCTTTCTCTCCCCCTCAAGTGTCTATTTTAGAATGGTATGCCAGGGAAACCAAGATTCAAAAGACAGCCAAGCATCTTAACATTATTTCCCCTCTTTTGCCCATTCCAATCATGTCTCAAGCCCTGTTGTTCCAAGGTTGTGCATACATGATTATTTACCTCTGTCCCACTTAGCCCATGCAAACCTGCCTAATTGTTCTCCCATCCACTTTGTTTTACCATTCCCCTCCTGCTTCTTGTATATTGCCCCCCCTCCCTAGCACCCAAACTATCCTGTGTCTATTCTCTGCCCTGTGCTTCACCTTCTCCTCCCTCCCCTTACCCTACCCCTAACATCCTGCCTTTGGGTTTTAAGTGGAAACATCTCTTTAAATTTCGAGGATCTCTGTGCACATGCGTAGTTGAATCCTTCAGGGATGGGGTGTCCACTTGCTCAGATAGCCTCTCTAGGCACTTGAATGGAAGTGTACAGCCAGTGAAAGACCAAAAAACAGATACAAAAAAAAAAGTGTCCACACTTTTATCTCTGTGGTTCTGTCAGATGTCTGTGGCTGCTCTGATCCTTCCCCCGTTTGGTCTCGCACAAGGTCCAGGAGCAGCTGAGCATCTTGGATTAGAAAGCAATGGATTTCTTGCTTCTGCTACAAATTCCCCTAGCTATAAGCCTTCCAACCTTCTAAATATTCCTTTATATGTGGTTCAGAGTCCTGGCACCATCCCTTGAGCCCGCTTGGTCTGGTATTCTGTGTTGTTGCTGACGGAGCTCCTCACAGCACTTCCACCCAATCCACCATCTTGTTTCCACCCATTGTCAACTTTCAACATCTTACTTTTTACATTACGCTACCAGATTGAGGGATACAGGGTTTCCGAGGGTGTAAATCTTTAGGGGAGTAGAAAGCCTCATCTTTCTCTCGCGGAACGCCTAATAGTTTCGAACCACTGACCTTAAGGTTTGCAGCCCGATTCATAACCACTACATGGTATTTTCAATAACCTCATATGGATGTGAAAGCTGGACAGTGAATAAGGAAGATCGTAGAAGAATTGATGCCTTTGAGTTGTGGTGTTGGAGGAGAATACTGAAAGTGCCGTGGACTTCCAAAAGAACCAATAGATCTCTTTTGGAAGAAGTACAACCAGAGTGCTCCTTGGAGGCCAAGATGGCTAAGCTTCGTCTCTCCTACTTTGGACACATTGTCTGGAGAGAACAGTTGCTGGAGAAGGATGTCATGCTGGGTAAGGTGGAGGGTCAGAGAAAAAGAGGAGGCCCCCCAATGATATGGATCAGCCAGGTGGCATCATTGATGGCATCAAGTGTGGCAGCGGTAGTGAGGTTGGCCCAGGATCAGACATTGTTTCATTCTGCTGTGCATGGGGTCACTATGAGTCAGTTCTGACTCAATGGCAACTGACAACAACAACTTTTTACATAAGGAAAATCTTGGTGGCCTGATTTGTGTTGAGCTTCTAAATGATGTTATATTTCATTGTCTAGTACCCCAATGTCACATTTGCTGAATTTTGTTGTTGTTGAGATCATATAAAGCGAAATGTACACTTGTTCAACAGTTTCCACATGTGCAGTTCAGTAACACTGATGACATCCTGACGTTCTTGGAGTTGTGAAACTACCCTCACCCTCCAGTTTTGAGTTACTCCTCCATCATGAATAGAAACAAGGATTTATAACAGTTTGAACTGGTTTCGTCATGGCTGACAGTGTAATCGGGACCAACTTGAATCTTTACAAGTTGGGTGAAGTAGAACACTAACTGGAGCTCTGGAATGGAAGACTCGGAAGAGGCAAAGTGAGTCCTTTCAGAGGCCTGGAGATTGGATTATTGCCAGGGCGGTGCAGAGTTACAACTCTGTCAGTTAGCAGTGTCGGCAGCCATCTTTGAGTGTGTCACCATTGTTTCGGACTGTGTCAGTCAAGATGTGGTTGCTGGAGATTACATGTCTAAGCTGGTGTTGACCTATAATGTTCCCCTTTCTGGTTACCGTTCTGATTCACCCACATTTTACAAACTCAGGTCCACTTCATTGTCACTCTGTCAGCTATGACTGGACCAGGAAGAGCCCGTTTTCAGCCCTGACATCAACCCACTACCCCTGAATTGCATTTGTCAGTGTGTCTCATCGAGATAGATCTGGAAAGAGCACAGTGTCCAAGGCAGACCTTCTTTACTGGTGAAGCTAATCTATTGCTTGGTATTGTTAGAAGACTTTAGAGAATCTCTTTGGTTTATAGTTTAGATGATCTCAGGGCAATAGTTCCAGGAATTTGTCCAGTCTTAAATGGCCCCAGAAAGTCTGCAGTCTGAGAATTTTAAATTCTGTTTTGCATTTTCCCCCTTCTGATCAGGATTCCCCTCTGGAATCCTTGATCAAAATGTTCAGTAATGCTAGCTGGGCACAGTCCTGTTCCTGTGGTCTTCAAAGGTCACATTTGTTCATCTGATCATTGATCTCCTGGGAGGAGGAGAATCTTAATGTATTGGAAGATCATGGTGCCAGATACACATTATTTAGAGCTCTAAATTTTTCCTTGAGAGCTGTTTTATAATTGGCAATAAATACCATCACTCATTTCCTTTGAGTAACAGGCTCACTTAATTCATTTTTAGGGGAAGTCTGCTAGATATTCAAGTCAGCATAGCCATTATTTGTCATTCGATCCTTCTAGAAAATTGGTGTGCCTTGATCAGCCCAAGCCTGCTGACTCTTTGTGACCTCCTGTGTTATACAACTGAGCTGTCTGTCTTTAGAATTTGATCCATAGGGCTTTTTTAAAAAAAAAAAAAGAAAAAAGAAATTGTCCGTAGAGTTTTCTCAGATCTATGGAAGCAGATCACCAGACCTTTCTTCCCAATGGCTTTGAGCTGCTAACCTTTCCCACTGTGCCACCCAGAAGAAGCTGTTAGTCCTCAGAACTCCAACAAGTGCTCCTATGCTTTCATCGCTGGACTGCGAACCACAAGGTTGGCAGTTCAAACATACCAGCTGCTCCTTGGGAACCCTCTTCAGGGTCACTATGAGTTTGAACTGACTTGATTGGCACTTAACAATTAACAACAGCATACTTTGGCAGGCAACAGAAAGACTTCATCACACACAGTTAAAAGATATGCAGCCCAGGGTTCAGCTATACTGAAACAATGAATTTCTTTCTTCCTTCTTGTTTACATCTCTATTGGTGCATACCTGAGGAGTTCTGGTAGCGTAGTGGTTATGAATCGGGCTGCTAACCTTGGGGTCAGCAGTTCAAAACTACCAGCGGCTCCACAGGAGTAAGAGGAGGCTATCTGCTCCTGCTACATTGGAGTCGGAACCGACTCCAGGCACATGACCACAGCACGATTGCTACATACCAACTTAGCACACACTTAGGGGTGAGAACACCCATTTATCATCTCAAGCCTTTTGCTAGTCATGGGATGAGGAACTGCTAAGCTGGAGGCTCTACTCAGCCTCTCCAAGGCTTTAGTCAAGGTGAGTCTGAGGTTTGGGGCTGTCTTGCAAGCTCCTGTGGTGTTCCAGTGCATTCCCTTGCAGGTGTAGAACTCTTGGTTGCTAGCTTCTTCAAGACTAGCAGGAGGGATGGAGGGAAGGAGATGAGGGAGACTGAGAAGAGAGCCAGACTGCGCTACTGCGGTGAATTCAGGGAAGGCAGAAGCCCCCTTTGAAAACACTTACCTGATTCACTCAGGCCCACTCATGATATTGTCTCTCTTGATGAACACAGAGTTAGAGAGATTTGGCACCTTAATTACATCTGCAAATTCCCTTTACCTTTGGCATATAATGGACAGTTGGACTGATTCTTTCCGGTTCAAACTCCCCCCCCCACCACACACACACACACACACACACACATCTGAGAATGTGCATATCCAGCCCAGATAGACTGAATCAGAGTCTATGTTGTAAGATCTCCCTGTTGACCCTTACATAAGAATCAGCTGGGATCCTGTTAAACCGATTCTGATTCGGGTCTATCTAGCGTTGTTGTTAAGGGCCATGCAGTTGCTTCCGGCTTAACGTGACCCTGGAGAGGGTTTCCAAGGAGCGTCTGGTGAATTTGAACAGCCAACTTCGTGGATGAAATTGTCGAGAGGCAAAATGTCAGGAGGCAGTTAAACTTGAAGGAACTGATATGTAATGTAATGGCTGAATGATAGCCATCCTCTTCAGGGGTCCCACCCACATTCTAGGTCATGGGATTATGCGGGGCACGAACACCAGTGGTCAGGTCTCTTGGAAGTCTACTCACCACATTGTACCAGGACATTCTGGTGGTCATTTTCTGTGGGTGTTGAGTGATGCTAACAAAAGCGTCTTGTTTCCTTTGAATTGAGATGTATGCAGTTGATCCTGGAACAAACATGGGTTTGAACTCCATGGGGTCACGTCTTTCACGGATTCTTTTTCCTCTTGTTCTTGCGGTGAGCTCCAATGTAGCATGTGCAGTTGGTCTCTGCTGTTTTCAGTGGGTACTCACTACACTTGAGCTCACCACAGTAGGAAAACAAACTCGTGTCCAAGTGGCCCCGTACACTTCAAACCTGTGTTGTTTAAGGGTCACCTCCTCAAACCCCCATGTTGTTCGGGGATCAAACTGTCATTTTATTTTCTCCAGGTATTTCTGACAAGGATTTGGAAGACATATTAGGGGGCGGTGACTACAAGCCTGACAGGAATAAAGGTAGGACCATGGCTTCCTCCAAACAGCAATCCCAGGCTAGCTGCAAAGGGGCTTCCAGGTTGATCAAGCCCTGCCTACTCAACCTCTGGGAGTAGGGAGGTAGACTGACCTTCCAACTTGCCAGCTGGGATTCTCTTGGCGCGGTGTGGGTCATGCCAACTTAGAACAGCCCCACAACGTCCCTGTTGTGCCTTGCACTAGGGTGCTGCCTTAGCATCCCCCCGGCAGCAGAAGTCCATTTTCTGAGGCAGCTCCAGTTCGGGTCACTGAGGACCAGGCCTATTCCTTAGGAAGAGCCTCCGCCCAGCCAGGGGAGCCTTCGCTCTTGGGATGGGAGCAGCAAAACTGATCAGTTTTTATAGCATTTGTAAGAAGAGCCCCCTAGTAATTGGCCTTTGTTTCCTGGGGCTGACGTCACCACATACCTCATGGTGGATGATGTCCACGCTTCTGTAACCTTTGGTACATATAAGAACCACTTACATGTTCCACGCCTGGGGTTTGTGGGGAGGCTTTCCCCCCACATTTCATATGTGTTGGCATCAGAGCAGTGACTTGCGCGACTGCCTAAAACCGGAGGAGGCTCTTTGGGCTTTGATACAGCACGATAAGGCTGCCTGTGCTAGCCCCCGATTTTCAAACGTTTCACTAAATACAATCAGACTGTGTATCCTAGAGTCAGCCCCACATAATATTTATCAAGATCCATCATACCTAGTGGAAATTTCAACACACTCAGTGATTTCGCATCTTTTCCATTGGTTAAACACCTTGTGTCTTGAAAGTCTTATCAACAAAAACAACAACAAACCCCACAGTGAATCCCAGTTCTGGAGGCTGGCAGTCCCTCCTGGGGCTTTGAGAGAGGAGCTGTCCCCATGCAGTCCTCTTCTGGCTGCTAGTGGCCAGCAGCGGCCCTTGGCCTTCCCTTGCAACCTATAGATGAGTTGTCACCTGGTGTCTGTCCTTTCCTTGTGTGTGAGTCTCTCTTTCTCTGTGTCTCTTCTTGTTTTCCGAGACCACATTCCGATGGAATCAGGATGCCCCCGACTCCAGCATGACTCTGTTGCCAAACAGGGTCACAGTCACAGCTACAGGAGGTAGAACCTCAGCTTCACTTTGTAGACGGTACAATTCAATTCATGACACAAGTCAAGAATTAAACAAACAAACAAACACCTATTTTGAAGGCACCCTGGTGGCACAGTAGGTTCCCTGGTGACACAATAGGTCACTATAGCGGTGGTTCCAAGCTAGCAGCTGCTGCATGAGAACAAGAGGAGGCTATCTGCAAACCCCAGTGGAGAGATGTGTCCTGTCCTCTAGGGTGACTCTGAGTCAGACTGCAATTCCACAATTGTGAGCGGGTTTGATTCTGAAAGATTGTTCCTGGGTTATGTGAGAAACGTTGTCTATACTGACAAATGCTCAAGTAACGTAGGCTGTACTCATTTTAGCGAGAGTGAGGTTTTCTTTATTCGATTTTGCAAAATTGGGCGCCCAGCCCCGTAGACAAGGGCAGATGCGCCACATGGCCATTTGACAAAGAGTTTTATTAACCTAACCTGGAAAAAGCCCGTCCTCCATTTCCCCTTTACTGGGTACTTTGGAGTTTACAATCTTTCTGGAAAATCGCCTAGCCCCTGCTACTTTGATGGGTATATTCTTATTTTTAAAAGAGTAGAAACTGCCCCTTAGGGTTCCAGGGTTGTAAGACTTTATAGAAATGGAATGCCTGCTACATCGTTCTCCCACAGAGTGGCTGATGGCTTCAAAGTACTGAACTTTGGATTAGCAGCCAAGTGCTTTAAACACTGTGCCACCAGGGCTCCACCAACCTGATAGGACCGAGGCCACTTGCTCCAGGTTAGCTCCCTCAGAATGGCTGCTGGGTTTGAAGTGCCGACCTTGCCGTTAGCAGCCTAGCCCTCAGCGCCACCAGGACTCCTTCTCGCTAAAAAAGCACTGTTGTTGTTGTTAAGTGTCGTCAAGTCGGCTCCGACCCATAGCAACCCTGCATAGGGTTTCCAAGGACCAGCTGCTGAGCTTGACCCACCGACAACGTTGCAGTTCAAACGGCTTTGAGTCTGACGCATTAACCCACAGCGCCACACCAGGACTCCATTGACCATAGGTATATGCACTGTGATGCTCCTAGATCCTGGGCCTCGTGGTTTACTCGCTTTGCTTTCAGACCCAGCGGCTGCTCTGTCTGTAAAATGGGTACTCACAGGACCCTTCCAATGTGCGGCCACACTGAGTTGCCCATGCAACTGTGACTGGCCTCCCTCGGAAAGCCTGGGCTTTGCAGGCGGCAGGGGGCGCTGCAGTTCCCTAGACTTTCCAGGCGAAATCAGAAGCCTCAGCCCCCCAGCTGGTCCAGTGTTGAGACGTGGTTGGTGGTGAGTGGTCTCAGCAGGCACTAAGTGCTTTCGTCTTCTCTCTAGGTGACGGCCACTATGGAAGCAGCGACAGCGCGGATTCTGGTGGGTATCTGAGTCCCGAGGTAGTTGTACCCTTCCCATGAATGTCTCACTTTGAAAAACCCGAGCCCTGGGGGAGGTGACTCAGATGGGTCTAGTCAGCCATCTCTGCCTGTCACGCTCCTAAAACTAGAAATCCTCTGAAAAGTGGGGTGCACTGGGCATGTCAAGGGGCGCGGGGTCGGTTTTATTCCTGAGGTGTATACTGGGTAAGCCTTTCATATCCCTGCACTTGAATCGGGGCCACGGGCTGCTGCTACTGCTGTGTGGCCACCGCTCTGTCTCCCTCCCTCTCATTTCTGGTCAGGAATGTCTGCCGAGACCGGCACTGTGGCCGGGGTGGCCAGTGCCCTGGCCATGGCCCTCATTGGCGCCGTCTCCAGCTACATCTCCTACCAACAGAAGAAGCTGTGCTTCAGTATCCAGCGTAAGTGGACCCGGGCCACAGTCTGGGCGGCCAAGGCTGCTCCTTGGAGCAGAGTTGGCTGTGACCAGGACCTTCCAAGGTTCTCGGTTCCTTGGGAAGGGACACTGAGACTTTTGGCCTCAAGTGGCACCCACAGAGAGGCCCTGAGTCCCTGCAGGTGCACCAAGAAGTGGGTGCCCCTTCCTCCACAGGCCAGGCAAGCCTGTATAGCACTATGGACTCAGGAGAACGAGTAAAGTGACCTTTGCCACCCACTCCCCCTTTTTCCCTGGTGGAGTTTGAAAAGATGAGTTGCTTTTACATGCTGCTGTGGCTGGGAGGCAGAGTGATGAGTAAATCAAGGGGTCCCCACCACAGTCCTCTAGGAAAGCTCCCCAGCAGTGGGGCCCACACAGCTCGTGAGATTTTGTGTTTGCCAAGGGCGCTGTCTCCAGTTCAAGGCTGCTCTCTTTCTAGTTCAAGTAACAGACCCTGGTTCCGCCGGAGGGTTCTCCCTTCCTCCTTCCCAGCTCTGGGCCTGTGGCTAAGGGCTGTTAGTGGAACCTCTTCAGGGCACCCCCAGCCCCTGTCTCCTCTCCTCCCTGTGTGAAGGAAGGAAAAGTCCCTCAAGGAGCCCAAAGTCTAGAGAGTGACAGGGTGAATGGGGACAGGCATCAGCCACGGACAGTGGAGACTTATCACGGCCATTCTTGGGGTGCTGTCCTGCAGGTGTGGGCAGCACGACATGATTGGTCAGATATGAGGACGAGAGTCCTGGGAGTGTGGCTTCCACAAGGCACTGCCCCTCCGCCCCCAAGCTCTGGACGGCAGCCTTCCTGTCCTGCCCTTCTTCCTCCCACATGCCCTGTCTGGAGGCCTGGACCCTTTCGTGGCTCTCTCCTCTTGGGCCCCAGCTCCCCATCAATATCACCATGCCCAACCTTGGCCTGCATCTCCTTGTCTGCCATCTGGATGGTGCCATCGGCCTCGTGTCTGCCCTGCTCTTCCATACAGTCCATTCCCCTCCCGGGAGCCAGAGGGACCTGTGTAAAGTTCTCGGCCTGGACCTCCCCTACTCCCACATCCCTCCTTGCCCCACACACAGGCTCTTTTCTCCTGGGGTGCTTAGCTTTCCCAGCATCCCTTCTCCTTCAGGCCCCAGGCAGCACCTCCAGCGCCTTCCTCCTGCTTTTGTGTGGCCACAGCGCCCCCTGCGGGCTCCAAGGAGCACTGGCCTCCCTGTCGGTGTCTGCACTCCACTGAGGAGCCTGTGGGTCTTTACAGGGAATGTGAGTGGGGCCTCTCAACCACCTGTGGATGCAGTTTAGAGAAGGCAGGTTGTACTCAGGCATTGCAACACAGGAAGTCTCAGGGAGAGCCGGGCTGTCCCCTTGCTCAGACACCCTGTGAGTCAGGGGTTGAGTGTGTGCTCGAGTTCTCAACTCTTTTTTTTGCTTCAGATGCCACAGATGGTCAAGGTAACGAACGACGCACTCCCTCCTCCCCTGTGTTGGTCCATCTCGCTACCTCTCGCTGTCCCTGTCTTTTCACCCCCTCCCTGGCACTTACCCACCTGGCTGCCACCATTCCTAGCATCCAGCTTGCCCGTATTGCTGGGTTAGGATGCCACCTGCCAAACCATCCATGTGCCTGCCAGAGTGGGGCTGGGTTGAAATATCTGTAGGGGTGGGGACTGGCCTAGTTTCTCAGTTTTGACAGGCCTAGGGCTCTGAGGAAGTTTTTGGTCCCTAGATGACCTTGGAAATGCCGGAGGAGGGGTGCAGCCCACTCCACATACTGAAAGTTGGTCCTGTGTCCAGCTTGGGGCCACTCAGTGGCCTACATGCCACCTGAGAATGCTTTTTTCGAGCCTGGAAGCCCCTCCTGGCAAAGGAGTGGGGATGCTAGTCCCCACCCTGCTTCCATGTTCTCTTGCACTGCACTTGGCTCCTTTTCTGTCCTTGGGCTTCTGGGCTGACTCTGAGCCGTGCCATCAGCCCACCCTGCAGTATGTAACTGCCCTCCTGCCTGAGGTCTTTGGTGGCATTGCTGGTGCTCCCAGAAAGCACAGTCTCCAGCCCGAGAGGGTATTCAGGGGTGCCAGGACTGGGGATCCCATGCTGTCCCTCATGCCGCCCTTTGCCCTGCTTTGCAGAGGGCCACAATGCAGACTACACGAAGGCCGAGAACCTGGAAGCTGTGGTGTGCGAGGAGCCCCAAGGTAGGACTCCCTGGCCACTGCGCTTCCCAGTAGATGCCCTGCCCTGTCAGCCCCGGCAGACCCCCTTGGGGTGGGGGTGGGGATGGGGGTGGGGGTCTTCAGGAAATTGTCAAAGGCAAGAGAGAACTGGGCTAAAGCACAGGCCTTACTATAAACACGCCTGCCTTCCCCATCTCCTCCCTCCTCTCTGCTCTGTGGTCATCAGTGATTTGGGGCCATCTGAGTGACAGCTGACAGCTCAGGAAGGGACTTGAGAGGCCAGGAGGACATGTGCTCTGTCTAGGTGATGTGCCATGGCCGTGACCTGCCCACCGCCATAGTTTTGGACAGTGATCTGGCCACTGGTCACCCAACGCAATACAATATGGGAAGATGCCCTCTCTGCTAGGGTTCATGATAATAATACAATTGAAATATGTCTCAGGGTCGGGGGCAGCCTCCCTGAGGAGCAGACAGGCCCAGGGCTCTGAGGTTTCTGGTTCCTAGATGACCTTGGAATACGGAGGCCTGGTAGGGAGGATTGGGCTGCTAACCGTAAGATCGGTAGTTCAAAACCCACTAGCTCCTCTACGGGAGAAAGATGAAGCTTTCTGCTCATGTGAAGATCTGCAGTCTCAGAAACCCTCTTTAGAATCCTTCTTTCAGCAGCCCTGGAAGGAGCATCCCCAATTTACAGGACCTGCCCAGCTCCCCTCCTTCTCTCCCAGGAAGTCTCTGCTTTAGCTCTTGTACAGAACAGAAAGGAAGGGGGTGGCCAAACTTCTCGCCCAGCATGGCTCATTTCTGGTTTTCCCTGTCTGGTGCTGGGCTGGAACAAATCCCTCCTAACCAGTGTCTGGGTTTTCTCTAGTGAAATGGTCATCACTGCAAACCCAGTCGGCAGAGCCGCCAAAGCCTGAGCCACTCGCGATCTAAGGCGCCCTAATTGTGCTCCGGCCATCTTGTCATCTGGACCCACCACTGCTGTGCCGCTGTTGCTCTCATTGGCTTCCCCTTGCTCTCAGTTGTTCGGATGAGGTCTTGGTGTTGGCAAGTTTGATTTGGGGCCCTGTGAGCTGTGTGGGCCACATGCCTGCCAGGTGCTTTGCAGAGACACGTTACTACTAACCCAGTTCTGCACGGGTGGTCAGTGTCAATCTGCCCGCCAGGGACACGGATGAAAGGATTGTTATGTTTAGGGGACAAGACTTTGAACCCAGGGTAGTGTCATTCACGGACATGCTGGCAGCCTCAAAAGTTGTAAATGGGGTGAGCCCCCAGCTCACAAAAGCATGTTGGGTGTCTAAGGGTTTCCCTGGTGCCTCTCTAGGGAGCAACCCTGTCAACACCAAGTAGCAACACACACACACACACACACACACAC